CTATGTGGCATTGCATAAAGTGATGCTTAGACATTTGTAGGTTTAACATACTTACTTTGGAGCTGGACACGAGTGGCTCACGCTTGTAATCCCAGCTACTCAGGAGGCAGAGATCAGGAGGTCTAGGTTCAAGGCCAGCCTGGGCAAATAGTTTTCAAGACCCTGTCTCGAAAAAACTCATCACTAAAAAAGGACTGGTGGAGTGGCTCAAGTAGTAAAGCGCCTGCCCAGCAGTTGTGAGGCCCTGAGTTCAAACCTCGGTGCCACCAAGAAAAAACCCCAAAGTCCCAGATGTGACTCCCCAAGAGGACGGAGAAGTAATTCCGGCATGTTGTAATGGTGGCCCCCCACAGGAATGGGAAGCAGATTCCTGATTTGCAGGGGACACAGGTTAGTATTATTTGTGGTACTGGGATTTGAATTTAGGGCTACACCTTGAGCCACCGCACCAGCCTCGTATTCATTTTTGGGCTGCATCAGACCCAGCAGAACCAGCTGCCCACGGGCCCTTTTCCATGTTTGCTACCTTTTTTTTTTTTTTTTTTTGGCGATACGGGGAATTGAACTCAAGGCCTCGCACCATCCTTGCTACTTTGAACCCTGGCCTGGCTCTATCTTTAGTGTCGCCTTGCACCTCTGTGCGTCGGGCACGGATCTGGAACGGCAGAGTACAGCCATTAACCTTTCCTTTGCGAAGCGCCGCCTCCCTGTCTGCCTTGGGGATCCGGAGGGTCGTGACCCGCAAGGCCTCTTGCTTGTGGTCCAGGTGCGAGATAGGTGTTAGTGAAAATGCCTCTGGCTCCAGGAAGCCCTCCTGACTCACAGGATCAGGTACCCCTTGGCCTCCCCCAGCATCCTGAGCTCCCCCGCACCAATCTTTTTTTTTTTTTTTTGATTTGAGTCTGGGTCTGGTTAGGTAGCCCAGAATGACCTCCAACTTGCAGTCTTCTTGTCTCACCCTCCCCAGTGCTGGGATTACAGGTGTGTGTCACCACATCTGGTCCCACTCTAATCTTGACCACTCTGGTGATAGGAATGTCTCTTTCACCAAACTGTCAGTCCCATAAAGATTAGACCAAGGCTTTTGAGGCCACCACAGTGTCCTCAGTGCCACACCACAGAAGTCTGGGCATGCAGGATGAGCTCGGATGGATGGATGGACGGATGGAATGAATGGAGAGGAACGAGTGGGAGAGTGAGAGGCAGCCAAGCAACCGGACAGGACTCAGGGGACACAGAGAGGGGGCGGGAGGGCGGGAGGGGGACATGAGGAGTAGGAGGGATTCCAAGAATGGACCAGGATCTCAAGAAGGAAGATGGAGACTGGGCAGTGGGCGGCATCTCAGGGAGGTTTTTTGTTTTTTGTTTTTTTCCATGGGACTGGGGTTTGAACTCAGGCCTTCACACTCACAAAGCAGGCGCTTTGCCACTTCAGCCACTTCTCCAGTCCACTTGGCTCTGGTTATTTTGAAGGAGGGAACAATTTGCCTGGAACCTCAATTCTCCCGATTTCCGCCCCTCGAGTAGCTAGGATTATAGCAGAGCCACTGGTGCCGGGTGAGATCCTGTTTTGGAGACAGGGTCTCTCTGACTTTGTCTGCCATCCTCCTGCTTCTACCCCTCGAGTATCTGGGACTACAGATGGACAACACCATGCCCGGCTTGTCTCTCAAACGTCACCTACTCTATCCTGCTCAGGCACATAGAGGGCAGGCTTTGCCTTTGCCCTGGCCTTGGTCCCTGCCCCTTGGGGATGGGCTCTGCCACACTGCCCAGGGGCTCATGGAGACATCTTTTTGGTTTGCTTGCTTGTTCATTTGAGATGCGGTCTCAAGCATGCAATCCTCCTGCCTCAGCCTCAGAGTGCTGGGATTACAGGAGTGACTACCACGCCTGGCTCTCTTAAACAGTGAATTCTTTTTTTTTACAGTGTAGAACGAGAGTATTGAGATAGAAAAGTGTAAAGAGGGAGAGTAGAGCCCTTGGAGTTGATGGGGGGGTCCCAAGAGAGGGTGCCCCTTAGAGAGTTCTTTAGAAAATTCCCTGCCTGGGTCCACAGCTAATCAGAAAGAGTTTGGTGCCCAGAGAAGGCCCCAGTCCCTTCACTCTGGCCTGGGCGGCCCCAGGGTGGAGCCAGCTTGGCCCTGTCCCCATGCCTCTGTTCCCCCAGAATATTCTGTCCAGTCTATAGGGTCCTGACTGCAACTTCTTTGTCACTGAAGTGGAGTTATCCTGTTCCCAACCCTATCAACCCCAGAAAGCTGCGCCTCACTTCCTGTCGCCCAGGGCGGCCGGAGGGGCCCGGCCGACTGAAGCGCTCCCTCTAGTCTCACTTCACGCGCAGTTGGCTTCCACTGGACGTGGGATAGCCTTCCACGGGGCAGGCACCCGTCTCATCCACCCGCGTGTCAGTCGATGAACACTTATGTGGTTTCCACTTTGGGCACAGTTGAGCAAGTGCCAGGCCTTGTCACAGAGTGAAGGCTCAGTGGCTGAAGGCCTCAGTCTCTCTGACAGTTGAGCAGAGGTTCAAATCCCAGACTCTGCCTCTGACGTCCCCAGCCTTCTGAGCTTGTTTCATCCCTGGGAACAGCCCCTGCTCCCAAGGCCTGGGGGACTTGGGGCCCACTCAGCGCCATTTAACAGACGCTTGGTAAGTAAAGCAACCCTGCCTCATCCCACAGCGGAGTCAGGATTTGAACCCACTTCTGTCTGAGTCAGATGCTAATCGTCATACGTTCTGTGTCCCATGGTCAAGACTATCCTAACGTGGGCCCCCAGCTCCTGTCCCGTGGGTGACTTGAGCTGCAATTCCTTCCTCTGTCCCCAAGTCTGGAAGTGTTTTGCAAAGAGCACTGAGTGAATTCCAGAGCACAGTACTAAGCATTCAGTAAGCGCTCAATCAGTGCAGGTGTTAGGCTTGTCCCCCCATTTTACAGAAATGCAAACTGAGGCTCAAAGAAAGGTCAGAGCTTCTCAGAGGACCCATGAAAATGTTTGCAGCCCAGAAAAATAGAGGACCAAACTCATAATAGCCCCGAATTAGAAAGAACTAAAAAGTGTTCATTGGGAGTGGAGATGGGATGGAGGGATTTGGGGTGACAGTGAAGGGGTGTGTGGCTTCTTTTTGGGGATTATGAGACTGTTCTAAAACTGATTGTGGTGATAGTTGCCCAGCTGAATATAAGAAGGGCTTTTGCTGGGTGCCGGTGGCTCACACCTGTAATCCTTTCTACTTGGGAGGCTGAGATTGGGAGGATGGCAGTTCGAGGCCAGCCCAGGCAAAAAAGTTTGCAAGACCCCATCTCAACAGAAAAAAAAGCTGGGCTTGGTGGTGTGCACCTGTCATACCAGAGGCAGCAGGAAGCATAAAACAGGAGGATCTTGGTCCCGTGACACCCCATCTCCAAAGTAACCAGAGCAAAAAGGGCTGGGTGTGGCTCTAATGGTGGAGTGCCTGCCTAGCAAGTGCAAAGCCCTGAGTTCAAACCCCAGTGCCACCAGAAAAAAAAAAAGAAGGGTTTTTTGAATGATGGCCTCCTTTTTTCTTTGAGACAAGATCCTACTGTGCAGCCCAGGTTGGCCTCAAACTCTCCATTCTCCTGCCTCAACCTCCCGAGTGCTGGGATTATAGGCAGGAACCACCAGGCCCAGCAACAAAGCTGTTTTTAAATCTGCAAAGAATCCAGTCAACTAGAGATGTGTGCATATGTAATTATATAAACACTCACAAATTGCAACATACTATCAACTCCGACTTCCTGGTGCTCACATCAAAGCCACTGAAAGTGTCACTTTCACAGAGAAGGGGAAGTCCTCTGGACTTTTTTTTTTTTTTCCTCAGTATTGCGTTAGAACTCAGGGCTTTCACCTTGAGTGATGGGTTTTTTCAAGATAGGGTCTCCAGAACTATTTGCCCAGGCTGCCTTCAAACCCTGATCCTCCTGATCTCTGCCTCCTGAGTAGCTGGGATTACAGGCGTGAAGCATCAGCGCCCAGCTAATGTTCTCTGGACATCTTACTTCAGCCTGGGCAAACAGAGGTTAAGCATTTCCCAGGGAAAGACAGGAACCACAGCCCAGAGAGGGGCAGCTTCCTGCCCGCTGTCACACAGCCCGGAAGCTCCAAGAGTCTCCGTGTCTCTGAGTTCAAACGTGCGTGAGTTCCAAGCCCGTCTCAGGGCTGACCCCTGGCTGCCTCCTCTTTTGGACTTCTCAGGGAAAAAAAAAATAAAATAAAATGGCACAGGGCAGGAAGCATCCATCACTCCCTGTCCAGCTCAGGCCGGAGGCACAGGGGTCAGCAGAGAGATGCCCTCGAGGTCTCTGTGGGGACCAGGATCCGGCGGGGCTGGGGGTGAGAGGCTGCACATTTTCCCACCCTGACATCTTCCTGTGTCAACCCAGGAGGGCGCCCTGGATGCTGCCGGCCCTACCCCCAACCTCCTTCCTCTCAGAACACAGCTTCCCGCCAAGGATGGATGAGGAGGCCATGCCAAGGTGGTGCCACCAGGCCCAGAGAAGAAAGGCAAACACTTTGGGCTGGACAAAATAACCGACTATGGCTCAGAGTAGCCAAGGGCCCACCTCAGAGCCACACAGCCCAGGGCACCGGCAGCTCCTGGCCTCCCTCAGGCCTCCCGGGGCTCCTCTGCCCGGAGCTGGAGCCCAGCCCGGCCTTGGGCGTGTGAGAAGCCCTTGGCCCGGGGCCCTGCCGGCCCTTCCTCCCCCATGCTGGGCTCAGCCCTTCCTACAGTTAAATAGAAACCTCTTTATTGTAAGTATCGAACATTCTTAATAGTTGGATTCAGGCCAGACCTTGAGGTTAGGGGAAGGGGGAGTGGGGCTGGGAAATTTCTGAAGAACCTTCCAGAAGGCCACTGGCCACACTGGGCTGTGGGGGAGGGGTGCTGGGAATGGGGTCGGTGGCCTTGGGCAGGGCTCTGCTCCCTCTGGTCTCCGGTTCCCTTCTGTAGGGTGTGTTTGGGGCTGGGTGGGGACTCTGAGGCCCCTTCCATCCCAGGGCTCTGAGTCCCAGGCAGAGAGTCATAGGGGACCCCAGGGGAGGATGGCGCATCAGCAGCAGACTGGGGGACACTGAGGCGAGGGGCTGGGAGGGGAGCCTCAGCGGCGGGCCCGAGGCCTGGCTGGAGATGGAGGCCGAGGCCGCAGGGGCAGACAGGCCAGACTGGGCCTGGCCAGCCGGGAGACAGGGAGGTGACCCAAGAGGAGAGGGAAACTGAGGCAGAAAGACGGGCGGGGCACAGGGATGTCGGAGAAGAAAGCTCGGTCCCGAGGAGGTGACAGGGCTCCACCCTCAGAGAGTTCCAGGTCCCGGGCCACCGCCAAGATCTCCTGGCGGGCGGCCGTGCTGTGTAGGCCGCGGATGTCCAGGAGAGCTGCTACGTGCTTCCGCCTGGGGACAGAGGGACAGACAGGTCCACGGGGGTCCCTGGCTCCGTGTGACCCCCAGCTGTGTCCTGCCCGAGCTCTGGAGCTCATTTGCCCCTGGTCCTGTGTCATCGCCTGTCCCCTCCCTTCCCTCATGTCAGATCCCTGCTCTGGAGTCTTCCCTCCACTCCAGACTAACTCAGTCCCCACCCACGGGAGCCCAGGTGGCTCCTGTGTCCAGCCTGGTTCCTGTCACCCGCTCAACTCCAAGCAAACCTCGTTTCATGGTGCCTGTCCTCTCTAAGGGCCCCACTGTCACCACTTACACCTAGCCCAGAAGTGTCACCCCCCCCAACCCTCACCTCCCCCAGGTCAAGCCTAGAGCCTTCCGCACCACTGAATTCTGAAACCATCATCCAAACTTCCATTCAGTGCCTCTCCACGTAGGTCATTCTAGAACATTCTTCCCCAAATTTAGCCTCAGAATATTCACTTCACCACCACGCCCAACCCATTCCCAGAATCAAGGGCCACCAAAATTTCTCTCCAAGGAGTAAAAGTCACCTTAGAGACCCTTCCCTTCCACCCCCCATCCAACCCACCAGAAATGTCCCCTTGTCCCCCACCTCAACTCCAGCTCACTGATCCAAAACACACCTCCAGAATCACCATATATTTCAATTTAAGATTCTGAGCCCCGACATTCATTTCCAGAACTTTCGTTTCATACAGAGCTCTGGGGCCTTGGCAAATGCCACCTTCCTCCCCACCCCCCAGAGCAGTGCCTTTACCGCCCCCCATAACCCTTTACCCTGAAGCTCCAAAACGTACATCCTAAATGCAGCTTGAAGGCTGGGTGCACTGGCTCACTCCTGTAATCCTGGCTAGTTGACAGGCAGAGACTGGGAAGGTCACAGTTTGGGAGGGCCGCTGGCACTCACAGAGAGCACTGTGGTGTGACAGTATAGTGTCCTGACTTTTGAGCCAGTCTATCCCTGGGTTCAAGTCCCAAGGGCATCACCTTGTTAACTGTGGAATTTTGGTAGCATGGGTTCTGCCTGACACAGATGAGTTGCTCCCTGAATATTTTCTAAAATAAATTACTTTTCTTTTTTTTGGTGGGACTGGGGTTTGAACTCAGGGCTTCTCACTTGTAAAGCAGGCGCTCTACCACTTGAACCACTCTGCCAGTCCATTTTGCTGAACTATTTGCCCTGGCTGGCCTTGAGCCTTGATCTTTCCAATCTCAGCCTCCCAGTAGCTAGGATTACAGGCATGAGCCACCAGCACCCAGCTAAACTAATTTAATTTAACTTTTTCGTTTTTTTTTTTCTTTTGGCAGTACTGGGGTTTGAACCCAGGTCCTTACACACGCTAGGCCAGTGCTCTACCACTGGGCCACCCCCCAGTCCTAACTGTACCTGCCAGGGAGTTGGAACTGACGTAAAGACTCAATGAGCAAAACTGAGCAGGGTGACGCTCCTGCAATTCTCGCTAACCCAAAGGCAGAGATTGGATAGAAGTTCAAGGTTAGCCTGGGCAAAAGTTTGCAAGACCCCATCTCAACCCATAAAAGCCGGGGAGGGGCTTGCCTGTCGTTCCAGCTGCACGGGAAGCATAAATATGAGCCCAGAGGTCCAGGCATCAAAGTGAGACCCTATTAGCTAAATAACCTAAAGGAAAGCACTGGCAGAGTGGCTCAAGTGGTAGAGTGCCTGCTTAGCAAGTTCGAGGCCCCGAGTTCAAATCCTACTACAGCCAAAGAACAAGTGGCATTGTTATCGCAGGCTCAGATGACACTGAAAGATGAATTGTAATAATCGTACAAGGACGGTACTATTACCCCTAGGGAGCCCAAGAGGAAACTGAGGCTCGGACAAGGTCACTCAGAAAGGAAGTGGCCCAGCAGGATGGTGCCTGTGCCTGCCACCGCCTGCTGCGTGTGCGCCCGCGTGCCCATGCGTGTCCCCGTGTCCCCCACGGTTCCCTGCCGGGCTGGCCCTTCCTGCCGCCAGCCCCCCTGCCCTGGGCTTTCCTGTGGCCGCCTGTTTGTTTGCAAGACCTGGTGGTGGTGGTGGCGGCGGGAGGAAAGTCTTATTAATAATGCCCTGACTCGAGCAGGAAACGGCCGTCAGACACGCTCGCCGCCTCCCTCGCCGCCGGGGAGGCAGGAAACGCAGGGACGGATGCCAAGGCCGCCGGGGACCTGGGCCAGGGACGGCGGGGTGGCCGGCCCGCTCACCTGATGTCTGGGTAGTCCCGCACCAGCACCCCGACCTCCACCTGGATGCTGGGTGTGTCTTCCAGCCGCAGGACCTCAGCCAGGTGTGGCACCACCGCATCCAGCCACGTAGCCTGGGACTCCTGCGGGGAGGGTGGGGACAGCCCAGAGCTCACACTTTGCTCATGTCCCCTCCCCTGACCACCACCCTTCCCAAGGCCCAGCCTTACTCCTCCTGGCCTCGGTTTTCCCCATCTATAAAAAGGATCTGAAGTCAAGACTGGCCAGGGGTTGTTTAGCTGAGACTTTTGGATATTTGAAGGAAAATCCATTAGCTAATCTATTTCCAGATTTGCAGATAATTTGGGAGCTGGACAAAACTGTTCGGGAGGCTGAGGCAGGAGGATGGTGAGTTCCAGGCCAGCCTGGCCTACATAGGGAGAACCAGTCTCAAAACAACAAAAGCAAAAAAATAAAAATAGAGACAAAACTTATTCCAAGGGCTGTGACTCAGCTAGAGCGCTAGCTTCGCGTATGCAAGGCCTTGGGCTCCGTCCCCAGCCGGGAGGGGGAGGTGATGTGGTCAGGTGGGGACGACACCAAGTCCAAGTTCACAGAATGTTACCATTAGAGGGAAACTGGACAAAGTGTCCAGGGGGAGCAGTGCCCTCTGTTTTCTTGGGACAGCCTACAAATCCGCAATTATCTCTTTAAAGAGTTTCAAAACATTTCAAGAACTGCAGCCCAGAAACTGGAAAAGTTTGAAGTGGGTCCCGGCGGGTTACAACGGGGTCAGCTTTGGTGGCTTTAGATTCCTGGACTTGGAGAGGTTAGGGTTCCGAGTTTCTGTCGCACTTAGCTTGCAGATGTGCTCACAAGAATGGCTAGCGTTTGTCAACTCTGCAACGCGATTAACGGGACTTGGCCGATGGCATCCCGGTGACAATGGGCCGGGACCATTCTTTCCGTTTTGCGCTTGGAGAGCGCGCCCTGGGCGCACCGATCGGATTCCCACGATCGCTGGACAGCGGCACCCCCCGCCCAGCACCCCGTGTCCCCCCGTGTCCCCCCGCGTCCCCGCGCCCGCCGCCGGGGCCGCACTCACCAGCCGCCGGAACAGGCGCTGCAGCTGCGCCGCGTCCTCCCGCAGCCGCCCCGCCACGCGGCCTCGGGTCCGCGCGGAGCGGCAGCGCAGACGCCCGCGGAGCAGGGGCCGCACGTACTCCACCAGCGCGCGCCGGTGCAGCTCCGCCACCAGCGCCTGGGGACCGCGGAGGGTGTGAGCCCCGCCCACCCGCGACACCGATCGGGACCCCGGCGCGCCAACCTCGCCCCGAGTGTTCTCTTGACTGTCCTGCCCGTGTCGCCCTTGTTCCCAGGGACTCGCCTCCCCGCCCCCCCCCCCGCGCCCCCCGCGCCCCCCGCGCCCCCGCGCCCCCGCGCGCGCTCACCTGGTAAGGCTCATCCTGCATCCGGCGCAGGGCCAGGGCCTGAGCACCCAGCGCCCCCACGATGCCGTCCAGGGCCTCCGGGCTGCTCACCCACTTCCGGCGCATCAGCTTGTTGAAGTGCGGCTGGGGGACAGCGCGTGGGGGAGTCACCCTCTCTCCCTTCTCCCGCCCCTCCTCCCGCTTTAAACCCTGCTGAGCCGAACCGGCTGGGCCGTGCTTGGGCACACATCAGGGAGGAGAAAGCCCCTGCCCTGCCCTCCTGGGGCTCGCCGTTCAGAGGGACAGATAGATTGGTCCCCAGATAGTAACAGCACAGAGTTGCAGGGCCCATGAGTGCGGGAGGCCCAGAGGGGATGCCTAACTGGCATAGCAGTCAAGGAGGGCTTCCTGGAGGGGGGGAATTGGAGGCTGAGAATCAGAGAATGAGCATGGCTAGTCAGGTGAGGAGTGAGGGGACCCATGGCTCCATCAGAGGGAAGAGCTACAGATTTCAGATGGGTGTGAGGGGACAAGGACCAGGGCAGAGATCCATGTGACTGACAACACCACCTGCATAATTCACCAGGAACAGTGCAAAATGCAAACTGGGCACCCGCTTACAACAAGTAAGACTCTTAGGCCAGGTGCAGTGGCTCATGCCTTTAATCCCAGCTACTTGGGAGGCAGAGACAGGAGGATGAACCACGGAGGCTAGCCTGGGCAAAGATTTGAGACAAAATACAAACAGAAGGGATGTGAGTGTGGCTCTGGGGTAGAGCTCCTGCCTAGCAAGGCAAGTCCCAGGTGGGGGACGGTTGGAATTTTAAGACAGTGACCTCACAGGTGGTACAAGATGCAGGGTGGAGACCAGCCATGCAGGGCCCAGCATGCAGGGTAGAGGAGAGCCAGCCTTCCCCCCGAGGCGGGGGGGGAGGGAGGACAGGGATTGGGGAGCCATGGTGGGTTTTGAGCAGGGGAAGGAGAAACCAGGTCAGGTTTGTGTTTGTTTTTTGTTTTTTTCCAGTACTGGGGTTTGAACTCAGGGCTATACTTTTTTTGTGAAGGGTTTTTCAGGATAGGGTCTTGTGAACTATTTGCCTGGGCTGCCTTCGAACCGTGATCCTCCTGATCCCTGCCTCCTGAGTAGCTGGGATTACAGGTGTGAGCCGTCAGTGCCCAGCTAGGTTTGTGCTTTACCACAGATGGGAGGACTGAGGGAGGAGGCTGGAGGTGGAGGGCAGGAGGAAGGGGGATCCAGGTGGTTGAATTCATAGGCGTTTTGAGCCCCACATGTAGGGGAGGCATGCAGAAGAGCCTGGGGGCTGGTGGCAATGGGTCTGTCCCTGAGATGGAGCTGGGGGGGGGTGACACTGCAACCTGGGTGGACACAGGGAATGTGAGGGGCTGAGACTACTGAGGTGACATCCAGGGGTCTGAAGCAGGTCCCCATACCTCACTTCTTCAGCAACCTCATCCTGACAGCAGCCCTGTTTCTGAACCTCCAAAAGCGGGGCGTGGGGGAACTCATGGAAAAGCAGGGCATAAAGTGACCCTGGGGGAGGGTCCTCCCAGACCACACCCGCCTCGTGCGCACACGAAATGCACACGCACGCACACATGCAATGTATGCACGCATGCGTACAGCACACGTGTACACGCTGCATACCTGTGCACATGTGCGCACACACTTCCCCAAACTCATGGCAATCACATGGCATCTGAACACAGCTCTACAAGTCCCTGTCCCTTTCTGATGTCCCCTCCCCTCTGTCACATTGTCTCTCCCAATCTCTCTCCTTTCCTTTCTCCCAGAACGACCTTGTTTGCTCAGACTTTCCCTACTTCTTGCCCTCTCTGCCTCAGAACATATACAGAGATTTATAGATTAAAATGACAGACTTGAGCCGAGTGTGGCAGTGCAGGCTGTAATCCCAGCACTCGGGAGGCTGAGGCGGGAGGATAGAGGATTCAAGGCCGGCCTGGGCTACAAAATGGCATCCTCACAAAAGTGACAGTGTCACAAAAACAAACAAATTAGGAAAAACCCCATAGACTTGAGCTGGATTACTGAGGCCGTGCTTTATTCGGGCCCTCAGTAAAATGAAACCGACACTAGACCCATGTCACAGGAAGGTGCTGAGAATAAAGTCACCCGATGTCCTCAGCTTCTATTGCTGCTCCATTTGTAACGTGTCAAGTGACATTATTGGCTATAACTGTTTATAAAAGGATTTCTTATCTTTTGGAGATATTTGCTGAAGTGTCAACTGATGAAATGACATAATGTTAGGGGATTCTAAATGGTTCTCTGGAGCCGAGAGCAGTGGCTCACAGCTGTAATCCCAGCTACTTGGGAGGCTGAGATCGGAAGGATCAGGGTTTGAGGCCAGCCTGGGCAAATAGTTCTCAAGACCCCATGTCCAAAATAACCACAGCAAAATGGACTGGAGGGGTGGCTCAAGCTATAAAGCACCTGTTTTGCAAGCGCAAAGCCCTGAGTTCAAATCCTAGTCCCACAAAAAATGCCAACCAATTTTTGCCCTTGAGCTGCATACAGTCCAGTGGGAGGGGGCGGATTTTAGGGGGCGGCTGGGGCTCAGTGGTAGAGTGCTTGCCTAGCACGGGAGGCCTTGGGTTCCATACCCAGAATCTTAAAGGGAGGAACAACAAGAAAGCAACACTATCTAGAGAGGTAGGCCAGGGTAAATGCTTTAGGAGGGGAGGGGTGTCTCAAGTTTCTTCTAACAGATGGGGGTCTTGCTCCGTTGTCCAGGCTGGCCCTGATCTCCTGGGTTCGAGTGACCCTCCTGCCTCAGCCTCCCAAATAGCTGGGACTACAGATGTGCACTACAGTCCCCTGCTTACCAAGGACTACTTCAAATCATCAGGGAGGCGGGCCTCACTAAGAAGGTGAAATTTGAGCCAAGACTTGAAAGAGGTGCTGACGGGAGCCACGGGGCTCTCAGAGGGAGAGCATGCTAGGCAGAGGGAAAGGCAAGTACCAAGGGCCAGGGCCAGGAAGGTGCTGGCTGAGTTAAGGGGCAGCCAAGGGGCTGGTATGGCTGGAGTGCAGTGTGTGAGGCAGAAGGCGGGAGGAGATGAGGTCCAAGAGAGGAAGGGACAGACTTGTGCCATGACAGGGATTCTGGCTTTTGCTCTGTGGGCTCTGGCTGTTCTGACACAATTTGGAGCTCAGAGGGGAGCCCTCATCACGGCCTAGTTGCAGAATTTGAACCCAGTCCCTCAGGGCACCAAAGGGCCCCAAGAGACTGGGAATGGGGCTCAAAGACGTAGAAGAGTTGGGTATGATTTGGGGCAGCTCAGTGTGCCTAAGCCCCCCTCCTGCTGGTAGCTGTCCTCCCCAGGGCCATAGCCACCCACCTTTTCCTTCCTGTACCCCCCCAAACAGCCCCAGCATGGCCGTCACCCCCACTGCACCCTGTTTCCCCCAACACCGAGTCCTGGGCTGGTGGGAACTGGGGGGACTCCCTGTCCTGGCCCAGCCCCTCCCTGTCCCCTGCCTTGCTCACCTGCAGCTCCTGGAACAGCAGGTCAGCCAGGACACGGTGGCAGAGCCGGGTCACACGGTCCAGGGCGCTGGCTGAAGCTTCCCTGGCAGGCTCACTTTCGGGGGGTCCTACCCTGGCCAGGCGCTCGGCCAGAGCCCTGCGGGGATCAGTGGAGCCAAAGTCAAGGAACCCCAAAATCTCAGCCCAGCTGCTTGGAGTGTTCTTCCCTTAGATGAACTTGTTTTGTGGGGTACAGGAGTGACTGGGGGTGAGGCAGTGAGGAAGATGAGGGTTTGAGAATTATCGGGGTGCCCAGGAGGCTGGGGCATCTGGGGACTAGGGGTGCCAGGGAGGTTGTAAAATGTTTAGGATTGGAGGATGTTGGGGTCTGGGGAATTTTGGGGATATGGAGGATATCTGGGAGGATAGCTGAGGCTGAACTGTCTTGGGGTGTCTTGGGTATTTGGGGGATGGAAGAGGTCTCCCTGGGTTTTTGTTTCTCTTCTTGTTTTCTGGTGAAAGTGTAGAGCTCTGTGATTCTAAATATACCTCTGCAACTCTGAAATTCCTTTTTGCAGTACTGGGATTTGAACTCAGGGCCTCATGCTGGCTAGGCAGACCCTCTGCCACTTAAGCCACGCCCTCGGCCCTTTTGGCTTTGCTTATTTTTAGATAGGGTCTCTATTTTTGCCTGGGGCTGACCTCGCTCGGAGCACAATCCTACATTAACTTCCCAGGTAGCTGGGATTATAGTTGTGCACCACCAAACCTGGCTTTGCGATTCTGGAATTCCTCCTAGCCCTCCTCCCTTCCTTCCTATAGACCTCCTTCTGGAAGTGTACCCCTCAGAGGCCCCACACTTATGAGAGGTGACACGTGTGCAGGGTTCTTGTCTATGGGCATGACTAAATCACTGACAGGACAGTCGACCAGTGGGATATGGTTCAGATATTTAAAAAGTGCGAGGGTGCAGGTGTGGTGGTGCACACCTGTAATCTCAGCACTGGGAAGGTTGAAGCAGGAGGATCTTGAGTTTGAAGCCAACCTGGACTACAGAGTGAGACCCTGTCTCAAAAAAAAAAAATCCAAAACCAAATAAACAAAAAATGGAGCAATGGAAGTTTTTTAGTTTAGTTTTGTTTTGTTTTGCGGGGCTGGGGCTGGGCGCCAGGGCCTGGCATGCCCCGAAGCACTCCACCACTGAGCTGCACCCCAACTCCAGAGGATGAGGAGTCTTTAGGTGATAACGGAAAGGTCACCATGCTGTTAAGAGGAAAAGGGAGAAGCAGGCACAATATTCTATTTGCATTGTCAGTCCTCTGTATCCTCAACCAGCCTCGGCTGGAAAGTATTCAGAAAAAAATTTCATCCAGGTCAGGACAGATGGCTCACTCCTGTAATCCCAGCCACTCGGGAGGCAGAGCTCAGTTGGAAGCCAGCCTGGATAAAAAGTTCTCAAGACCCCATCTCCAACAACAAAAGCTGGGTGTGATGGTGCTCACCTGCCATCCCAGCTACACGGGAAGCATAAGTAGGAGGATCACAGTGCAGGCCAGCCTAGCCTAATATGGAGTGAGACCCTATCTTAAAAATAACCAAAGCAAGCCAGGCACCTGTGGTGCACACCTATAATCCTAGCTACTGGGAGGCTAAGATCGGGAGGACTGAAGTTCGAGACCAGCCCAGGCAAACAGTTCACCACACACCATCTCCAAATTAACCAGAGAAAACTGGACTGGAGGTGTGGACTGGAGGTGTGGGTCAAACAGGAGAGCACCTGCTTTGCAAGCATGCAGCCCGGAGTTCAAAATCCAGTCCCACCAAAATCCAAAAATAAATAATGAAGCAGAGGGCTGGGGGAGTAGTTCAGGTGGAGCGATTGCCTAGCAAGGGTGAGGCCCTGAGTTCAAACCCCAGTGCCACCCCAAGAAATATATGTGTATATGTGTGTACATACTCGAGATCCATGTTTTGAGTGCTGGGATTACAGGCAGGAACCACCACACCTGACTACATTATCAATTTTTTAGATGCAATTTAAGGGCTCAGGGTGTACCAATAAGCAAGTAAATAAGATTAAGTGCAATTTAAGACAAGTTAATAAAAAAACTAAGATAAAAAGGCATATATATATTTCTTAGTCTTTGAGTGCAGCATCTAGGTTTCCATAATCCTAACATGTCAATATTCTGATTGTAATTTTAATCCTCCAGGATGCTGTGGGCTATTTCTACAACTTGCAGATTTTTTATGCTACTTTTTTCTTTTTTGTAGCACCTGGGGTTTGAACTCAGGCCCTCAGGGTTGCTCACGGGTGCTCTACTACTTGAGCCATGCCTCCAGCTGTGTTTTATGTTGGATTTTTTTCAAGATAGGATCGGGTGAACTATTTGCACAGCTGGCTTCAAACCATGATCCTCCTGATCTCTGTCTCCTGAGTAGCTGGAATTACAGGCGTGAGCCACCGGTGCCTGGCTCCAGATTTTATGCTTCTAAGCTTCCATGGGTCAGCTCTGGTGCTTTTTTTTTTTCCTTTGGTGGTATTGAGGTTTGAACTCAAGGCTTTGCACTGGTTAATCAGGCACTCTACAGCTTGAGCCATGCCTTCAGCCCTACCATGGGTCAGCTCTGGGATCCCCACCCAGGAATGGGGCCCCCTTCCCTTCAGCTGCCACGCACTCACCTCAGGGGGGGCCCACAGTTGACCAGGGCGATGGTCCTGCTGATGTAGGAGTCAGGTGGCAGCTCCCGGATTCCTGGGTTCTCGTGGAATCGCTCCACGCGCTGCTGGAAGCTGGGGGGGAAGGTACAACTGACATGGTATACGGGGCACCCACGGGGCTGCCCCCACCACCTGCCAAAGCCTGTGATCTGACCCCAGTACCTTTGCCCATCATCTCCTCCGTCACATCCCCAGTCCTGATGCCCCGGCCTTCCCCCCGCACCTAGCCCCAGTCTCCTACCTCTGCAGGAACTCCGCCAGCCCCCCCAGGCAGCAGTGCGCCATGCGTTCCCCAAACTCCTTGCTGATGCGGGGGGCTCTCTCTGTGTGCTGTTCCAGCAGCTGCACGGGCCAGAGGGAAGAAAAGGGGTGCAGTGGTGTGGACAAGGTGCTCCTTCCCCACCCACTCGGCACGGTCCATCTGACCTCCATCAGATGCTTTTTGTTTTGTTTTGTTTTTTTGGGACTGGGATTTGAACTCAGGGCTTCACACTTGCAAAGCAGGTGCTCTACTGATTGAGTTACACCTCCAGTCAATTTTGCTGTGGTTATTTTGGAGATGGGGTCTCACGAACTATTTGCCCAGGCTGGCCTCTAACCTCAGTCCTCTAGATCTCAGGCTCCCAAGTAGCTAAGATTGCTGGTGTGAGCCACCAGCGCCCACACTCTTCCTTCTTACCTCACACACATCCTGGGCCAGGTTGCTGGGGTGATCGGTCACACCACCCCATCGCTCTTCGTCCTCCTGCAGTACTCGAAGGAGGGCTGCCCGTGTCTGAGCCTACAGTGGGGAGAAGGGGACAGGCTGGATTCCAGCCAGGAGCTCTAAGCTCAAGGTGCTGCTGTGGAGAGAGGCAGGGCCAGAAAACTTCCCCAAGGCCTTCCCCTCCTGCCTAAAGTTTGAGCTTTCTGTTTGTTTGTTTTGGTGTTTCTGGGGCTTGAACTCGGGGCCTCACAGCTTGCTAGGCAAGTGTGCTCCGCCATTTAAAGCATTCCAGCAGCTCTGGTTTGAGCTTTCTGTAAAGAGCCTGTGGTTTTCAGCTTCCTCCATCTCACAGTCATTTTTTAGCCAGGCCCTGATGGCTCATGCCTGTAATCCCAGCTACTCAGGAGACAGAGATCAGGGGGATCGTGGTTCGAAGCCAGCCCAGGGAAATAGTTCTCAAGGCTATATCTCACAAAAAAAAAAACCCATCACACAAAAAAGGACTTGTGGCATGGCCCAAATGGTATGAGTGACTGCTTAGCAAACGTGAGGCCTGAGTTCAAATCGCAGTACCAATAAATAAATAAATAAAAAGAATTGCAAGCTTTGTGAACCTCTGAATCACTGGTCAATGGGCTGTTTTCAACTAACAAGTCAAAGTGACTAGGTGCAGTCACTAGGTGTGATTCCACCAGGCCCCGGAGGAATCTGCATCTGGATGCCATGGCTAGAGCAAGACTGACAGACGGGAAACGCCACTGTGGCCAGCTGCAGGTTGATGGCAGGGGCCAATGGACTCCGTGGTGCCTGTGCCCAGCCTGTCATTAACCATATCATCTGCTCATGAGCAAAGATCCTTTGACGCCCTATTGCTGAGTTAAGGTCGTCTTGCTCTAAAAGTTTTTTTTGGTGGCACTGGGATTTGAACTCAGGGCCTCACACTTGTTAGGCAGGTGCTCTACCACTTGAGCCACTTCACCAACCCTTTATTGTGTTGGGTTTTTTCCAGATAGGGTCTTATGAACTAACTGCCAGGGACTGGTCTCAAACCACGATCCTCCCGATCTCTGCCTCCTGAGTAGCTAGGATTATAGGCGTGAGCCACTGGTGCCTGGCTTCTCGATCTAAGACTTGAAAGCTCTGACTTTATTCAATGTTTTTTAAGTGTCTCTACTCCCCTTAGAGGTGTGTGCTTGGGAGGTGACATGGAACACAGAAATGACCACTATGGGCTTATGTATGTGTGTCGCCTTTGGACAGGACTCAGAAATTCCCAAAGCTGAAGAGAAACAGAAACAGTGAATGGAGAGAAGAGCCCCCGAGGCCTACTGTGACCCCTCCCTCTCTCAGAATGCACCCCAATCCCAAGTCCCAGGTACCTTAACATCTGTGACACACTCATCCTCCAAACCCAGCAGGGTGCCGGGGGACAGAAGGGGCCCCAGCTCCCCATTCTCCAGGGCAACCATGTCCACCAGCCCTAGGACTTCTCTGGGGGTGGGGAGAAGAGACAGGGAGGTCTGTGAGAGGTGGCTAAGCATGTCCCCCTGAGTACGTCCCCACGCCCACCAAGCCCGTGACCCCGGGCCACTCCCTTCCTCTCTCTGGGCCAGCTTTGCTTATCACTTAAAGGAAGTCTTTGGAACTGCTACCTCCTGGCTCCAGCTCTCTGAGTCAGCTCCCTGATGGATGGTGTCTGGGCAAGACTTATAGGGGTCAAGTTCAGGCTTGATGATCTGACACGCAAGGCCTCCCCCACGGTCAGCTTTGCTAGACTGAAGCTCCCTTGTGCCTCTGCTCCTAGGTCCTGCACCTCACCTGGCCCTGGGGCCTTCCCAGTCCAGCCCCCACACTCCTCCTACTTCTGTGCAAACCAGGACTGAGTAGCATCACCATAGTCACTTCACGCTTCCCACCACCCACCCTCATGCCAGACTTTTGCTCACGGCATCTACTCCATCAGAAATATCATCTTCCAAACTGGGCATGGTGGTTCATGCCTGTAATCCCAGCACTCAAGAAGCTGAGGCAGGAAGATCACAAGTTCCCAGCCAACCATGGGCTACATAGAGACCCTGTTTCCAAAAATCAAACCAAAACCAAAACACACAGCCCCAAAACACACTCTCCTTATAAATCAGACTTAACCCATATTCCACTGCTCCAGGAAGCTTCCAGAAACCCTATTCTGCAGCCACCTCTCACAGGTGAGCAGAGACCTTGATTAGTGTGGTCCCCAGTTGGGCTCTCCATGGTCCATACTGGTAGCTGCTGCCTGCCCAGCCATCCTGGCTCTACTGGAGAACCACCCACCGCATCTCTCACATGTGGTTTGGGGGTGGCCAACTCTCTTTTCCCTGGAGAGGACATGTGCCCCAGTGACAGCTGGGCACCAAATTCAACACCCCGCACAAGAAGGGTTTTGCCAGGCGCCGGTGGCTCACGCCTGCAGTCCCAGCTACTTGGGAGGCTGAGATTTGGAGGATCGAGATTCGAAGCCTGTCCAAGCAATAGTTCTTAAAACCCCCATCTCCAAAATAACCAGAACAAACTGCACTGGAGGAGCGGCTCAAGTGGAAGAGCTCCTGCTTTGCAAGTGCAGAGCCCTGAGTTCAAATCCCACTCCCACCAAAAAATTTTTAGACTGGGAGAGTCAGTGGCTCCACAGAACTCACTAAAGTTCTGACCCTGGGGGTGAGAGCCAAACAGTGGATGAGGCTAAGGTGCAGGATTTGACTCCTTACACTATGGTTCTAGGGGTGACAGAGCTGTGTGTGAATGGCACAGTTCTAAAGCTGGAAGAGTGAGCAATGCTGAGCCTGCTGTGTAAGCATTCTAAAATTCTTTCTGGGAGTACTGGGGATTGAACTCAGGGCCTCCTGCTTGCTGGGGATGAGTCGCATCCCCAGCAAAATCTCGAATTCTAAGGGTTACCTGTACTAAGGTTGAGAGTCAGATTCTAGCAGGGGAGTGACCCACTGTTCTGAAATCCTAGGACTGGAAGTGTGACAGCTAAGACAGTAGTCATTTAACTCTCATGGATGGAATGTTCTTTTTCTTTTTTGGAGACAGGGTTCAGCTGTGTAGCCCAGGCAGATTCTGCCTCCCTAATGCTGGGATTACAGGCGTGTACCACCACACCCGGCTATGTTCTTGTCTGGAAAGTTCCACCTCACTGAGCTATTAGGACTGTGAAGTTCAGAACTGCGCTGAGAGTTTAGAACTGGAACATTTATGGTGCCGATAGGTCTGGAAGAGTGCACAGTGCTCAGATGTGAAGACAGGTCAATGTCACTAAGATTCTAGAAATGTAGCTCCACCATGCTCGGGTTCTGGAAGGATTAAAGGTGCTCAATTCTAGGGATGGAAGGGTGGAGTGTTGAGGCTGCAGAGGCTCTGGAAGGATCCAGGGTGCAGCAGAGGGGATGGACAGTGTTGCTCTAGGATTTTAAGCGCCACTGTGCTGAGCAAGCGCCGGTGCCTCCCGCCTGTCATCCTAGCTACTCAGGAGGCAGGGATCAGGAGGATCGCGGTTCAAAGCCAGCCCCAGCAAATAGTTCATGAGGCCCTATCTTGAAAAAACCCATCACAAAAAAGGGCTGGTGGAGTGGCTCAAGGTGTAGGCTCTGAGTTCAAGCCCTAGTACCGACAGAAAAAAAAAAGTACCCAGAAGAGCGGTGGAAGGGGTGAATTTGGGTATGATACGGCTGACACGTTGGAAGAACCTCGGCAAATGCCGCATGTGCCCCCACCCAGCACGACAATGGTAGAAAAAGTGCCACCGTGCTGAGGACTGCAAGGGCGCATGGTGTCGCCATCGGATGCCAGCTAGAGTGGACAGGCTGGCTGATCGCAGGTCCCTGTGGTCTGGGGAGGGAGGGTGGGGCTGGGGTGTCCGCGCGGTCAGGGGCTCACCTGGGGTACACCTGGTTGTGCCAGTGCAGCAGAGCGTAGCGATCGGCCAGCGCCAGCCTCCTGCGCGCCGAGGTCGCCAGCCACTCGGCGAGCGCGCCGTGGTAGCCGCGCAGGTAGACGCCGAAGGCGCCCAGGCCGGCGGGGTAGGCGGGCGCCAGGCGACCCCGCACCACGGCCATGTCCTCCAGCAGCCGCGAGCGCAGCGCCTCCAGCTGGCCGGCCAGGCCCCCGCCGCCCCGGGCGCCGCCGCCTCCAGACGCTCGCGCGCCGCGCGCGCCACCGCCTCCGCCCAGCGCGCGCGCAGCCTGCGGGCCGCCCCGGGGCCGCGCCGCCCGTCAGCCGCCTCCTCCTGCACCAGCACCTGGCCCAGCTGCGCCACGGCGCCCGCGCCCGCGCCCGCGCCCAGCCCGGCCCCGCCAGCGTCTCCCGCACCAGCGCCCACAGCTCGCGCTGCAGGGCCTCGTACAGCAGCGCCACATCCCGCGCACGGCGCCCGCCGCCCGCGCCCTCCGCCTGCGGTGGCCCCGGGGCGCCGCCCCCCGACGACGCCAGCTCCTCGGCTTCCAGCTCCAGGATGTGCTCGTCAGCTCGCGCCAGCTCGCGCCGCTGGATCAGGCTCAGGATCTCCAGCACTGCGGGGACAAAGCCAGCGCGGGATGGAGCTGGGGGCAGAGGGTGCCACATAGGGCAAGAGGACCTGGACAGAGGGAAAACGTGGGGGCGGCGAAAGGAGTCCAGGGGAGGGATGGGATGAGCTGGGAGTGGTAGTGCACGCCTATAATCCCAGCTACTCGGGAGTAGGAGGCAGGAGGATGGCGAGTTCAAGGCCACCAAGACTGGACTCAAAAATAACAACAGAGCCCGGCGCTGGTGGCTCACGCCTGTAATCCCAGCTACTCAGGAGGCAGAGATCAGGAGGATCGCGGTTCAAAGCCAGCCCCTGCAAATAGACCTTATCTCGAAAATACCTAACACAAAAAAGGGCTGGTGGAGTGGTTCAAGATGTAGGGACTACACTTTGTGTACTTGTGGAGTTCAAGCCCCAATACCAAAAAACCAAAAAAGGGCTGGGGACATGATAGAATGTAAGTGCCAGGCCCTGGGTTCAATCCCCAGCATGGCAACAAGAGTGGAGGCAGGATTGTGGGCTGGGGATGTAGTTCAGGGTACAGCCCTTGCCTAGTGCATATGAGGTCCCTAGAGTGGATAAGATGAGGGAGGAAGATGGGGAAGTTGGTGGGGGGGGGAGAGGTGGAGGAGGAAGTCCAGGAAAAGGAGGGAGGAAGGGAGGAAGAGAAGTGAGGGTGGAGGACAGGGCCAGGACACGGGCAGGGGGGGAGGGGGGGAGGACGGGGGCAAGGACAAGGGCCAGAGCGGGCAGACGGAACTGAAACCTGCCCAGGGATCTCTGCCACAATGTTAGCAGGTGTCAGGAGAGTAGGAAGAAGGTGGACAGAAGGAGGGAGGGAGGGAGGTGAAGGGGCCGGGACAAGGGGGGGGTAGGAGTAGAAAAGCACACTCTGTCAGAGGGCGGGATGGGAGAGGTGGGTGGCATGAGGACACGGAGGAGGGTATGGAGGGGGACAGAGGGAGAAAGTCAAAGTCAGGTGAAGAAAGAGAGATGGAGCCCAGCAAAGGCAGCAACAGGGACAAGCTTGGAATGGGGACGATATGGGGACCAGAGCTGAGGTCTTCAGGATGGGGCGACTGTGGGGGTGAGCTCGCACTCTGATGGATCAGACTCACCACTCCAAAAGGGGAGTCCTGAAGTTGGGAGACCTCCAGTGGAGGCAGAGGGAGGGTCCCGGGTCCCAGCGGCCCAGAGTTACCCTCCACACCTCCCCTCCCTCTGCTTCCTCCCTGGCAGGGAAAATATTTCCTGGCCAGTGCTATTCCTGCCCTTCCGTTTCCAGAAGGCGGGGGCTCCAGTCACCCCCTCCTCACCTCCCTGCGGTGCCCTCCCAGTCCCCAGGGAGCTGGGGCTGAAATAGCCTCTGGCCAGGATGTGGAGGGCACCAGAGGACAAAGAGGCTGCGGGGAGGTCCTGGGCAGAGGGGCAGCAGGGGCCTGGCGGGAGGAGGGGCTGGGGCTGGGGTCCAGGTCAAGATGGGGCTGGAGGGAGAGTGTCTGGGATGGGGATGAAGGTCAGGAAAGCAGCACTGGGATGGAGTCGGAATCTGCAGAAGGGAGCAGGCAAGGAGTTATTACGGATGACCTAATATGGGGTGGGACCAGAAAGTCCTAGAGGAAGACACCCGTGTGTGGTGTAGGATTGGGTGAGCATGGGGATGGGATGGGGTCATGTGTGGAATTGTGTGTCCCCCAAAAGACATGTGAGGTCCGAATCCCCAGGGTCAGAATGTGACCTTAGTAGGAGTTAGGGACTTTCTAGAGGTCATAGGTTGGATCATAGGACTTAATGTCATATGGCTGGTCTGGGGAAGGGGAGATACAGGGACAGACAGACAGACAATGTAAAGAGACACGGCAGGAGCTGGTGGAGTGGCTCCAGCGGTAGAGCACCCGCCTGACAATCGTGAGGTCCTTAGTTCAAGTCCCAGTACTGCCAAAAAGG